CTGATGACACTGTGCTCTTGGGAGATTTCTGATGAGAAGTTGCAGAGGTGTGGATGAATTTGGTAGGGTATGAAAAAGAAGAAAATTAAAAAGTGAATACAGTGAAAGAGTAAGTATAAGGAAACAAAAAGATTAGGTGATGAAAACTGATATCAGATTGGAGGGAGAGAGTATGGAGGAGGTGAATGTATTCAGATATTTGGAGTGGACGTGTCAGCGATGGGTCTATGAAAGATGATGTGAATCAAAGAATTAATTGAGAGGAAAAGGGTGAGCGGTGCACTAGGAATCTGTGGAGACAAAGATACTTTGTCCTTGGAGGGAAAGAGGGGAATACATGAGAGTATAGTTTTTTTACCAACGCTCTTAAATGGGTGTGAAATCATGGGTGATGAATGTTTGCAGTGAGGAGAAGGCTGAGGCAGTGGGATATTGACATATATTAGGGCAATTTGGTGTGAATATAATGCAGAGAAATTCGTAGTTGGAGTTAGGAGGAGGTGCGGATTACCAAAACTATGTACCAGAGGGTCTGAGTAAGGGTTGTTGAGGTGGTTCGGACAGGTAGAGAGAATTGGACGAAACAGAATGCCTTCAAGAGTGTAACAGTCTGTAGTGGAAGGAAGGCGGGGTATGGGGTCGGCCTGGAAAGGTTGGAGAGAGGGGGTAAAAGGAGGTTTTTTGTGCGAGGGGCTGGACTTCCAGCAGGCATGCGTTATCGTTTTGATTAGGAGTGAATGAGACAAATGGTTTTTAATACTTGACGGTGCTGTTGGATTGTAGCAAAGTGACATTTAATGAAGGGATTCAAGGAAACCGGCTGGCCGACTTGAGTCCTAGGAGATGATAATTACAGTGCCTGCACCTCGAAGAGGGGTGTAAATGTTGCAGTTTTAAACTTGTAGTGAAAGCACTCCTTCTGGCAAGACAGTGATGGGAGTGAATGATGGTGAAAGTTTTTCTTTTTTCGGGCCACCCCTCCTTGGTGGGAATCGGCCATCTGTGATAATAAAATAATAAAAATTTCTGTGCCAAGAGGCCATAGCAACATAATAATAATTAATGAAAAAATCTAGCTTTAAACGTATAAAAATATTTATAGAAAGGATTAAGTTTAAATGAGTCTTGCTATTACACCAGTTTTACATATTCGGCACGACACACATCAACACATTACATATATATATAACATATATATATATATATAATAATATATAATATAAATATATAAATATATAATAATATATAGATATATATATATATAATATATATATTATATATATATATATATATATAATATATATATATATATATATATATATATATATATATATAATTATATATATATATATATGTATAAATATATGTGTGTGTGTGTGTGTGTGTTGTGTGGTGAACCTTGAAGCTCATATGTTTGGTTTTGCCCTCCTCCTCTGCTGCTGCCCCCTCAAAACACAAGCTGAGGGCTTGTCACACCCATAAAACATCTCGACTGAAGCCTGTACCCTCAACGCATCAAAATGCACATTATGGATGCCCCTAACTCTGCCTTCAATCCCTAAATTTCATCAATATGGTACACCCCCGTCACAGCCCCCTGCCCATGATATTGCCTTCAACTGTCCTCAAAATACTTTGCCAGCCCGGATTCATATTATTCACCCTTCTTCCCTCACCCACATAAAACTGAAGTATCTCCGGTTAAGCCACCTCATCCCACCAACGCACCAACCTACCCCCACCCACGATACCCCGCTCGCTTCCCCCCCCACCACTCCTCAAGCCCACCACTCCTCCTTCATTACTCACGCCCTTGTATTAATTTCCAATAACCCCTATGTCGCAAAGCACAAACTCCCTCCCTAACTGAGTCAAAACCACCCTATGATCAGAATAAGCCGCTGTTACGGTACTCATCGAAGCAATTACTCATTGAACATAACTCCTCCGTAATGAATTTATTCATTTAGCCTCCCACGCTCTGCCCACACTACTTTTCGTGTTCTGGCAGCCATACTGGTAAAGCTTCACTACCATCCACCCCAACCTCCGTTCCTGCTAGGTCCTTAGCTCCCTCTATGATGCCTTCCACTCCCTGCACTCTTGACACGTCCTACCCACGCCTTGTTTTTTTCCTGGCCTTTGAGCAGGCTGAGGACGTCATATCTGAATCTGAGGGGCGGCCGTCGTCACCCTCCTCCTTGCACCCACATCAACCACGACACACATATCAACTCAGCGTCCCGAAGTACCTCCACTTCCATGTTCACTCAGAACGACGCCCCTCGCCCTGCGCAATGGCTGCCTCCTCCACTTCCTCCACACACGACTTGATTTGCAATCCCTCACTAATGTTTCCGATGTTTTCCCCTCCCGGCGGGGAACATACTCATTAAAGCCTTTTCCAATGCCATTCGATGCCAGCTTCCTCAGCCTCCGCCTTCAAACTCTCCTGACCACGCCCCATTTCCCAAAAAGTTCCTCGTACTTCTCAGTCGGAAGATTCCATTCAGCGTATCATTCAAGACAGTCATCTAACACTCCACAACCTACTGTTTCCACGTCCACCATGCACTTCCTTTTTCTTGTCCACACTCCCCCTTTCCGGTATCACTGACCTGTACACAACCTGGGGATACTCTCGTCGTCCACACTCCGCTGCCACATGGTCGTACTCCCCACAAATCCTGCATGTGCCGCGCCATCCTGGGGTATGTCCACCATTCTCTGCTTACGAAAGTCGGGATAGGTACACGTAAGAAGGCACTGGGTGGGGCAAAGACACCTTGGGGGAAAACGTTCCTTCTGGCAAACCTGCATAAGCACTATCAACCCATTTTCCCCTGCTGCGCCACATTTTTAACGCAATACTTGATAAAACACCTGTCGTAGATCCGTTTCGTCCACTTCGATCGGCACATTCCTCAATTTAAGCCAGGTGTAGTGTTTTCGATGTTACCAGACGTACCCATACAATGTCAGTAAAGTCCATTACTACCCCTAGATACCGCTCCACAAGCGCCACGTACACCTGTGATGAAAGCAAACTTCCCACGAGTAGTCGAACTGCTCCATTTAGAGCAACGCCGTACAATTCTTCATCCGCAATCCGGTATGTGTCTCGGATGATTTGCAGCAGTAACACTTGCGACACCTCTGGGATGTTTGGACCCAGGGAGCCAGCTCAATTCCAACAGTGTTCACACTTTCTGCACAGACTTGATGCCATAATGTTACACCACCAATTTACCCAAGTGTAACTGGTCAGGAGCGACTCACAAAACGTCTGCCACGCCACCGTCTAAGCAGTAAATTTAAGGTTAAAAATTCCGAAATGAAATTACATAACAAATGGATAATAATTATAAACAACACGAACTATGTGAAAAGACCGATGACGTACGTATTTTAAGTTGTGCTCCACTGTCAACAATATGTCGTCAACAGAATATAGACCCGAAAGCTAATTTTTCTTTACTGTATATACACTTGAAAAGTTTAATCACTGTTTTAGGGATTCAAATATTCCTGACTTATGAACCGGTTTTTATGCAGGCTTAACGACCCTCGTGTAGCCAATAGGCTTTAACCAGCAGGTGACTTTCGAAGGGCACATGTGTCATATCCAAGTTACAGTGACCTATCTCATAATTTATATTGTTTTATCATACATTTAATAATTGCACAAATATACAAATGGAGGGGAAATACAAAGGGGGTATAAATAAAATTTATTTATACAGTGTAATAAAAATTTAAATAAAAATCCAAAACTTTAGTCTTCTAAATATGATCGGGTTTATATACGCATATATTATATTTTACTGGTTTTTTAAGCTGGGTATAGTAACCATGGTCTTTGAGCCACTGAACGATGACCATGTAGTTGTTGTTCATCCAGGCAATATTGTTGGCATTTCTCTCAATGGCTTGATCAACAGCTCGTTTTGCAGTTACCAGTTTTTCAGAGTACTTTTCTTTGAAAAAACTCCACCTAGGAATAATAATATCATTAATACACACTTTTACACAATGTATTTACCATATATACTTTTAAACTGAATCCATTATAGTTTCTCCTTTCTCTAGAAAAGCGTTCAGTTCGGGCATATCTGTCGTCTCTCAGCTACATTCACTCTGACCCCTACATAGCGCATTTCTATGTAACACGCTCGCACAAGGCTGTACGATGTCCAAGTCCCTAGCACCCAAAAATTTTCGTTTACCCCCACTCTCCAACCTTTTCTAGAAAGATCCTTACCCCTTCTTCCATCCACCCGAGATTTTTATGCCCTCACAGTCATCCTATTATATGAAAATTCCTCGCTTAATGCCCAAAACCCAATCTCAACCCTCAGACCTCCGAAAAAAACTGTTGGTAACTCCACACCTCCTAATCTCCTAACTCAGAATATTCACCCCAACACACCTGCCCTCAAACACGACATTTCTGCTATTGTCAGCCTTCTCGCTGTATCATTCAAAACTCGTGCTTAACACATACACAAGAGTGATGGTACCACTACACTCTGGTGAAACATTTTTTTTTTTTTGCCTCCATGGATAAAGTTCTTTTTCTCAACAGATACCTCAGGGGCATTACCTACCTTTGTCCCTTCGTTAAATTTTATGGTTCACATTCTTCACAGAACCATCTCCCAACAAGTCATTCTTTCCTCCAATCTGGTATCCAGCCCTCTTATTGCCTGTTTTTTTTTTTTTTTTTATATTGCTCCTTCCTAAGTTTACTTTTAATTTCCTTCCTTTAAAATACCCTCCCAAATCTTTGCTACTTCTCTTCGAATCTCCCAAAATTGTTTGTCATCAGGAAAAAGCAACTATGGTAAACTCCTATTTTCGTATAGATTCACTATCTTTCAATCCCACACTTTTCCCTAACACCCTGCGTTTATTTCCCTTTACAACGCTATATAGAATCTTTGAATAATTACGCAGCCATAGTGACATCACACATCTCTGTATAGATCCTTATTTTGCTGAAAAATAATCTCTGTCTCTCTCCTACATATCCTAGCCTGTGTCTCGCTATCCATATAAAAGTTCTTAACTGCTTTAAAAAACCTGCCATCTATTCCATACACTTCAACATCTGCCACATTGCTTCCCTATCCACCGTATGAAAATTATCCTTCCTATTCCATATATTTATTGTTCCATATTTTTAAATATCTATCGCCGTGATGCACATTTACAAAGTGGTATGTGATACCAATAAGTATCACATACAATAGGTATCCATACACTTTGTTGGAAAAAGACCCAAAATACAAACAGATCGTTCGGTCCTGGAACACTGGGACTGACTAAGATTCCAGGATTGAAACATTTCCAGTAAAATGCGTAGTATTTACTTGTTATGTCTTTTTCCAACAAAATGTTCTGTCTCTTCACTGTTTACTTTTCTCACTCCATTTAAAAACTAATCACTCTCTTCCCAAACCCAAAAAAAAAAAATGATCATGGAATACCCTATGATAATCTAAAATAAGTTATATCTCGCTCATCAGAGTAAATAATTCACTTCTCTAAACTCCGATATAATTTCACATTTCCTTCTTCCTTCGTTAAGTTTTGTTTATTATTGTCTGTTTTACAAAACTTCCTTGGTTATACCACTGCACACTCTCCTTTTTGCTTGAAATAAATTTAATATTTTTTTGCAAATTTTTGAATAAAAATTTTATTTTACCCCAAAACATTTAACCAAAACTTTTGAAGTTATGTAAAATAATATCGCTATATTTCATAAGTACAACTGGAGAAAAGTGGGATAAAATATTCGACATTATAATGAGACAAATGCTTTATCCCCATTTATTTGAGAATTGCCACTGTTTGGCAAAACGTTGCCATTTTAAAGAATAACATTATGCTGTATGTATCTTTACCATAAATTAACGATTTTTACGAGGGAGAGATGGAGGAATAACTTTAGATAACTCCATTTTTAACTGCATTCAGTTTTTTCACCTCTCGTTGATTTATATAATCTTTAAGGAAAAAATCCCATGACACGGGTTTTCACGAAAGATGATTCGTTAAGTGATGATACCCACCCCATGTCAGGGGTGGTGGAGCAGCTGTTAAACCCCTATAAACTCCGCTAACATTATATTTAATGCCTTTGTATCAATATTTTCAATGGCATCTTTTACATAATTCTCGCCATGTGAGGGAATTATGTGGCATCATGTACAAGGTGGGCAACGTCCGTTATAACATTAGCATCTTAATGCATTGAAAAAAACATTTCTAACAGAATTAGATGTTGCTTTCTGTCATACGTCTCTACGTACCATCACAGTATCCTTCATACTATCAATGTCTCCCACTACCATTTTGTCATGCTGCAGCGTATTGTTTTTTATGTTCACAGTTCCATAATCCCAGGTAAACCACAAATCGAGTTCTTAAAAAAAGGCAGTATTTGTTTGTTGGGGTTAATAAACAATGATGTCTGTGCCAAAAAGGTATTTAAGTTGTGAGCTAATGAGGAGTTTTTTAGTATTAAAGCCAAAGAATAAAAATTTAACAAATAAGTTGAGACTTAAATCCATATCCGTTAAATTATAACTTTAGTGTTTTAACGAACTGGGGAAATAAGTTTTAATGGTATTCTATGAAATGTTCCTTATACACGCGCTGTAACAATAATGTTAACAAAACCAGAAGCTTTAGCATGAAGCCTAATGCCCTGTTTGAAAAACATTAGTATATGACAGCCTTCGAAAAGGTACAAAGTATCAGTTACCTTCAAAAATTTTGTCACTATAATAGTTATAGTTTTGGCTATATATTCTACACTAATGACTACGGGACTTCAACCAATGCCTTCCATTAAAAAATCTCCATATTTAAGGCTAACACACAAAAAAATATGAAAATGTTGCAAGATATAAAGCAAGGGTAGAATAATCCGGCAATCCCTCGGTTACTACTACTTGGGACATCCCACCAAAGTGATGCCTCCAGTAAAACCACGTTCTATAAAGCCTCACAATTCGGTAGCCAAGTGTTCTAATTGATTTGGTCATCTTCCTTGGCTTCCCAGAGTGTGAGACTGACTTGAGAAATTGTAAAAATTTCGATTTTAAAACGATTCATGGATCGGGTAAGATTCGAACCCACAGCACGTCGCCCTAAAACTAGCAGGCCAGTACTCTAACTAAAAACCACGCGGGACTAACACGGTAAAGTGGTTAAAATACTGACCTGTTAGTTGTAGGACAAATTTTCCATTGGTTCGAATCCTGTCAATTTCGTGAGTGGGTGAGATTACTAGTTCTAATAAAAACACAATTCAATACAAAGACATTAAAATTAAAACCGGAGCGACGGCTGCTTATTAATGGCGCCCAAAGATCCTTGTAATTTACTAATTTTACCTCTCACAACAACTAGGTATGTTGACTCACCTCCTTCAGTTCCAAGTCTGTGTTTAAGGACTCAGTAGTCGATTTAACTAAGCGAGGGATGGTAAATAGGCCGGACCCATAGCTGAAAATTAAAGTCTGTGTTATGGCGAGATGTATTTTATTCTTTCAAGTTCTCCATTACAAAAAGAATAAAAGTAAGCCGTGTGTCATTTGGAGAAATATATACTCGTCCTAACAGAAAAAAAAGATAGATTTTCATACTCACTAGTCAATAATTTTCTCCCAATTCTCTCTAATATAGTTCCAGGCAAGGTAGTGTCCTACACTGTTCCTGGCTACACCCTCGAACGCTGTTCCTGCATCCTGTTTCCTAATACCGCTGCTGTTTGTGAAAGCCATGTCGAGGTACCTGTGCGAATATTTTAGCTCTTCACCTGAACTGCATAGTAATTAATACTCAATATTTTTATTATATTAATCAAATTTAATTGATCATAACGGAGGTGTATATAAAAAATCGATTTTAACTATCTATGACAAGGAATTTTATTTGATTAATCTATAATTAAAGCATCTGTATTTTAAAATTTTGATAAACTTTCAATGAATAATAGACATATTTAATAAATTCACTTCAAGTAATGAAAAAATAAGTTGAATTAACCTAGACAGGATCCAGACTTTCTTGGTACATCCCAGAGCAGACAGTAGTAGAGATTTCTCAGAGCCAACGTTGGAGGCGAGGTACTGGTTCCAGCCAAAGTTCCACTCCTTCTCACCACCAGCAGCAATAGCGGTGCAGTACACTGTGCTCTTCAGGTTGGGAACATGCTGCGTATATGATTAAAACAGAGTTTTATCACATAAATGTATTCAAGCATTCAACAGCAATTACAGGAGAAAATACGAAGTTCTTTAACTGTATCTGAGTTTGTTTATAAAAGTTACCTGCGGTCACTTGGGTTCTGCATCCACTTTTGGTAGAGGGAAACAGAGTTATTGACACAGTCCTGGTACTCTAGGTTGCAGGCCCACGTCAGTGCCTTGACCCGCTTGAACTGCTCCAGATGAGGGTCATTCATGTTGTCTTGGAAGCCGACAGACTCGTACAGAGGAGTCAGGAGGGTGAGCAAGTAATTCTGTTCTCCCGAGTGGTAAAGATAAAAAGCACTTAAAACTCGGACTTAGATACTCACTTATATAGGCTATCTGAAAATTGTTATGCCAAGTATATGGATGAATAAGCTTTTAATCGAGATCGAAATATACACTAAAAGATGCATGCATAAGCCTTGTACATTTTGCTTTATTTGGTGTACTACGTCACTTGCCCATATCTATGAAACAGAACGACCTCCTAGTAATTCACAGCTCGATATTCTATAAGAGTTTAATTGGTACAAAACTCTAAGAAAATCCTAGATCATTACAATGACCTTTCTGTCAACAAGATGGAGCAGAAGGGCCATGGTTGATGCTGGAAGTGTGACGTGGGTACACAAATAACAGATAACTTATATCCATCTTCTCAATCATTTTAACTGAAGTAACGACTACCTTAAGAGCTCCATAGTTTCCTGAGCGGGTAAACATTCTCTTGATGTAGTTGAGGTTGGACAATGCAGACTCCCATGGGACGTACTCTTCCTCGTTTTTCAAGTAGGTATTCACGCCCATTGCTATGTTATAGGATAACTGACCTGGTAGGATATAATTAAGAGTAAATTTATAAAAAAAAATTAATCCATTAATTTTAATAAAGATTGATACTGACATTAGGTAATAGTTAAATAAAAATAATATGTCGATGACTTTTTTTTCAATTTGTTTGGGCATTAGTTGACTTGTGGACAACATATATAATGGTATATGCTTGTTTTGATTAGTAATTATGTTTTATTTTAGGATCTATCAATAAATGTTGCTGCAATGAATTTTTTACTGTACAAAGGTGTGCATTAGTCAGGTATGCAAGTTCTGGGTCTGGGTTAGGAAACAAGTAGAGCAGTGGAACCTAGCCCATCTTTCGCTATGGATAGGTAAGAAACTGGTGAATCTATGAGGTTCTTTGAAAATGATTCAATCTACTTAATGTCTGTAAACTGGCAGACAATGTGGAAAATTATCGGATTATTTTCAAATCCTATAGATTTAAAAATAATCTTTTATTAATACTTACAAAAAAGTGTTAAAACCATGTGAGGTATATTACTTTCTTCTTTAATAATTCCCTGTTATAGTGTATAGCATAACAATTTGCGATATTCGTGCATAGTTAAACTATTTGGTTTAAATAGTTTAACTATGTACTCTGGCTGGCACCTTGAGTGGAGAGAATTTGAAGGATTTTCTTCCCACCAAAAAAGACTGCATTGAGTCCTCCACTTAAGTGCCACATGAAATATACATTGAGAGTATTACTATTATTAATTGTCAGTATTATTATTATTATTACTATTATTATTATTATTATTATTATTATTATTATTATTATTATTATTATTATTATAAGGAAATTAAGTTATAAACCCTAAGGTTGTAGGGGCGCTGAAAATACGTCATGATAAGTATATCTCCAGGTGTTTAATCGCTGATAGTTTAGTTTACAAACACTAAGTGTGGGGCACTGTCTGTCAGCCACACATTTTGGGTGTATGGTGTGGCTTGAGTTTTCATCCCAACCACAGTTGTGATTTAAATTTACCTTTTTCCATTAACCTCCCTTTAGGAACACGTAAATATATTTGTTTCTAGTCTAAACGTTTTTAATTTGGGTTAAATTACGTAAATTGCGTCTTTATTTTCAACTAAAAATTTTATTTTTAAAATTTTTGTTTGATTTGTTTTCGCATTTACTTGGCGTATAATAACATATCCCTTAGAGGGAATTATAGGTCTTAAGAAAAGAAGTGGAAGTCAGTTGATTTTGAAAGTTTCATTTTTTTCAGATATATAAAAGCAATAGCCTTTGAGGCAATCATTTTTGCTTTTAGTGTTATTTATGAATCTTCTTTCTTTTTATTTGAAATTTAACTGCAATGTACTTTTTAAAAATCGAACAGCCCGAATTATTTTTTTACGTACTTGAAAAGACAAAATTATTAAAATCTGAAACAATGTTTTTTCACTAAAAACAATAAAAAAGATTTGGCATACTAATAAGCATCAAAATAATAATTTTCTTTTTAAGCTGGTCATAACAGTGACCCCACCCAAAAGACTCAGCAAAAAAGCACTTACCTCAATTAAAACAAAGACGTACCAGCTTGTGCGAGGTCCTGGCGTCGTCGATGATCTGAGCACGGTTTATCAAATGGATAACTTGTGGTCGTTGTTCATTGCTGAACTGAGGCAAGTTCCAGTTTTCGTCGTCATAGTTCCCTTTAAATAACCTGCTCCCGTACGTTGAAGATGACCCATGGTCCTTTCCTTTTCAAGAGACTGGGGATCTTTGCCTCAGAATCCTTCATATACTTGTGTTTGAGTGTTGTTGAAATTAGTGTTATCTGTCTCGTGTATGTTAGTGGAACCCACCACTTGTAGTCATGGGTGTCTGAGAGTCTCGTTCTTTACCAATAAAATCGTTCCTGCAAAAGTATGAAATCATTAATGTGTCCCTCTCTTCTAAAATGTTATAAGAAGTTTGTCTCTTGAACAAACATAACATTATAAATTATTAAAACCCCGAGTGAGGGTTGCCGAGGTGCCGCTGAGCTCCTACAAACTTGATGACAGGGTACCCATCTTTCAGCGTCCAGGTGTCCATACTTTCTTGACTGTCATGCCTGGGCGGCGTGCGGCACTTCATGAGCAGTTCTCAGGTATGCCCCAAGTGTCCTGCTCAGCACTTTTATATTTCCTGAAACATTCAAGCTATATTTTTACAAAGCTGAATAAAAAATACATAAACTCTCTTAGGAAAATATTTTGGAACTAAAAAGTGCATTATGTGCACTGTACATGTGGAAAAAACTGTATATATTTTCCGAAAATACGGTAATTTATAGGTAAATGGATGCCCTATATTGCATTTTTAAAAGAAGTATGTTATCGAAAAAAAGAAGAGACAGTCGCCATTTTGTGGTTTTGAATTGGATACAACGTTAATGTAATGGGAAGCATTTTTCGTGCTCTAGAGGTTAAAATTGGATTGACGCCTCTCAAATAGGAGGCAAAATTGTTGGATGTGCATTCCTGCATAGCTTGAGATATCAGGCGACTGGACAAGACAGCTCCAGGAACCTCAGATAAGCTCTCTAGATTTGTGTATAATTCTGGCCAGTGTTTTCATAAATTTAGTTAGTGAAGTTTTTCTGAGTATGATACAACTTAATATCCAGTCAAATTGGTGAGTGATATTAAGATATATTTTCCTTCTGTTATGTATATGTGCAATTATATATAATCATTTTTTAATTTAATACACAGTCCACAAATTTATATATTTACCAGAATTCCTGGTGATGTATAATTCATTTAATTAATAGGTCCAGAGCAACTTGTGGATATGACAGTGATAGGTATCGAAGGGGGACATTTTTGCGACCTAGGTGTCCCAAATTCCTACTTGTCTAGCTGATAAATAATAATTATCTATGTTCATTTATTGTTATGTACATAACTATACATACAGATAAATGCAATTTTCAACATTTAATTTGCCCGTTGGTCCTTCTTGAACCGGAGGTAATTAGTGAAGTCATTAATTAGTTAATTACTTAATAATTATATGTGAAATGACAGAAGAAGGTGGATGTTAAGTTCACAAATTTACTTAAAGTGTAGTGGATTATAATTATTACAATATTAATTTGGTAAGTCTAGTGTAACTAATTATATTAATGTGTATAATATTAATTTTGCAAAGCCAAAGTGGCTAGGATTTATATTAATGTATTTGTATAATATTAATTTGATAAGACAATTCTGGCCAAGATTTATATCAGTGTATGTGTAATTGATAAGAAAAGTGTGTCTGAAGATTATATTGTGTATAATAATTTTGCTATGCCAAATTCTGGCAAGGATTTATTAATTTGTATAATATTAATTTTGATGAGCCAAATTTGTATTAATGTACATTTAAAATTTATATTACAATTTTTTACATGTAATTGCTGAGCTCAAGCAGCTGGGATTTATTCAAAGGTAGGTTTTGTCAGTGTTATTGATTGGGTTGAATCTAATACATTGCATCATGGCTGAAAATGAGGAAATTGATGTATAAGACAAGCATATGGATATAGAGTAAAGAAAGCATCACTACAGGCTAGGAAAGTTCATGTAACCAAGGCATATAATAAGTGCTTGGAATTAATGAATCAAGAAACTGTGAATACTGATGATTTAAAATTGTATTTAGATGCTTTAGGTAATAGATATGATTCATACAAATTATATTACAACAAATATGAAGGAGATTTGTTAGTAAACTGTGTAGATGAGATTGAAGTAGGGCTCATGATTAATCAGTATTATGAATTAGAAGAAAAGATTCTTTCTTGTAAAAGTCATGCCTTGAATAAATTAAAATGTGTAAACCAGGCAGTTAATCAGTCTGCTCCAACAAATAATATGTCTTTGCCAAAACTCCCAGAACTATGTTTACCTGTTTAATCCTGGAGAAAACTGGGAAGAATTTTGGTCAATTTTTAAAGCGTGTGGCCGGGGGCCTACGTGTTGTAACTGTCAGTACATGTAATTATTAAATAAAGGACAACTTCCTGAAACTCCCTCCTGCAAGATTAATGAGGATATACGAGGAAATTTACGAGTTAAATGTAGAAATAAAACTTCAATTTATAATTTACCGAGTGGTATAAATATAAAAAACAGATTTATGTGCACGTGGGTTGCATGGCTTATTGCACTACAATGAAAGTTTATCCTTAATAGATGTTTTAAATTTAAAGCATTCTTGACAGGTGTTGAAAAGGTTATTTTTCATACTTAATGATTCTCTTATATTCGCAAATCTTTAATAACTATTAAAAATCCAACTAGGGAAATTGAGTTGACCTCGCAGTGATATTCTTGTCATTGGTTTAGCAAATTACGGGTATGCACATGATATTTATGTACTTACTGACCCGTGTTGTGATCGTTGAGTATAGTTTAAGAGGGCCCATCCTTAACGTTCTCTCTGTCAGAGAGGAAGTTTCATCATGCGAATAAGAGAGATGATCCCAGCTGTTACGGTACTCATCGAGCATATCTCATTGAACATAACTCCTCTCGAATGATTTATTCATTTAGTCCTCCACGCTGCCCGGACACTACTTTTCTGTCTGCAGCCTATGGTATAGTCACTACCTCTCACCCAAGCCTCGTTCCATGCTAGGTTCTTTAGCTCCCTGTTATGATGCCTTCCATCCCTGCACCTCTTGACCGTCTCTACCCACGCCTTTTTCTGTCCTTTGAGAGTCGTGAGGACGTCATCTGAATCTGAGACCCGTCGTCCCCCTCCTCCTTTTACCCCTTCCCCCTTTTATCCCCCCCCTCCCCCCCCCCCCCCCCCCCCCTATATAATATATATTTACCCCATCAACCACGACACACATATTCCAACTCAGCGTCCCGATGACCTCCACTTCCTTGTTCACCATACGGAACGACTCGCCCTGCGCAATGGCTGCCTCCTCACTTCCTCACACACGACTTGATTTGGCTATCCCTCCACTAATGTTTCGATGTTTTCCCCTCCGGCGGGGAACATACTCATTAAGCCTTTTCCAATGCCATATCGAGTGCCAGCTTCCTTCAGCCTCCGCCTTCAAACTCTCTGACCACGCCCCTACTTCCAAATAAGTTCCTCGTACTTCTCAGTCGAAGTCTCCATTCAGCGTATCATTCATGCAGTCATTTATCACTCCAAACCTACTGTTTCCACGTCCACCATGCACTTCCATTTCTTGTACCACACTCCCCCTTTCCGGTATCACTGACTGTACACAAACTGGGGGATACTCTCGTCGTCCACACTCCTGCCACATGGTCGTACTCCCACAAATCCTGCATGTGCCGCGCATCTCTGCGTATTGTCACCATGTCTTGCTTACCGAAAGTCAGGATAGGTACACGTAAGGAAGGCACTTGGTGGGGCTAAGACACCTTGAGGGAAACGTTCCTTCTGGTCAACCTGCATATGCACTATCAACCCATTTCCCGGCTGCGCAATATTTAACGAAATACTTGATGAAACACTGTTCGTAGATCCGTTTTCGTACACTTCGATCGGCTCATTCCTCAACTTAAGCCAGGTGTAGTGTTTCGATGTTACCAGACGTTACCAATACAATGTCAGTAAAGTCTTTACTACGCCTAGATACAGCTCCTCAAGCGCACGTACACCTGTGATGAAAAAGCAAACTTCACGAGTAGTCGGAAACTGCTCCATTAGAGCAAACGGCCGTACAATTCTTCATCCGCAATCCGGTATGTGTCTCGGATGATTTGCAGCAGTAACACTTGCACACCTCTGGATGTTGGCCCAGGAGCAGCTCATTCCCAAACAGTGTTCACGTCTGCACAGACTTGATGCCATAATGTTACACCAAACCCAATTTACCAAGTGTAATGGTCAGGAGGCGACTCACAAACCGTCTGCCCACGCCACCGTCTAAGCAGTGAATAAGGTTAAAAAAATTCCGAACTGAAATTACATACAAATGGATAATAATTATAAACATCCACGAACTATGTGAAAGACGATGACGTACGTAGTTAAGTTGGCTCCACTGTTCAACAATATGTCGTCACAGAATATAGACCCCGAAAGGCTAATTCTTTCTTTTACTGTATATACACTTGAAAAGTTAATCACTGTTTTAGGGATTCAATTTTCCTGATTATGAACGGTTGTATGCAGCTTTACGACCCTCGTGTAGCCTATAGGCTTTAACCAGCAGGTGGTACTTCGAAGTGGCTCTTGTTGTCATATCCAAGTTACAGGGACCATCTCATAATTGATATTGTTTTTCTTCATTAATAATTGCACAAATATACAAGTGGATGGGAATACAAGAGGTATAAATATAAAATTTATTATACAGTGTAATTTCTAAGATAATAAAAAATCCCAAAACTTTAGTCTTCTAAATATGATCACGGTATATTCGCATATATTATATTTTACTGGTGTTAAGCTGGGTATAGTAACCATGGTCTTTGAGCCACTGAAACGATGACCCTTGTAGTTGTTGGTCATCCAGGCATTATTGGTGGCCGTTCTCTCAATGGCTTGATCAACAGCTCGTTTTGCAGTTTACGTTTTTCAGTGTACTTTTCTTTGAACAAACTCCACATGGAATAAATAATTTCATTTTATACATCTTTTACACAATGTATTTTACCATATCATACATTTAAACTGTTTCCATTATAGTTTTCCTTTCTCTACGAAGGCGTTCTGTTCGGGCATATCTGTCCGTCTCTCAGCTACATTCACTCCGACTCTACTTAGCCGACATTTTATGTAACACGCTCGCACTAGGCTGTACGATGTCCAAGTCCTAGCATCCAAAATTTCGTTTACCCCCACTCCCCCCCCCCCCCCCCCTCCAACCTTTCTAGAAAGATCCTTACCCTTCTTCCTTCCAACCAGAGATTTTTATGCCCTCTCATCATCCTATTTATGACTATCCTCGCTTAATGTCCAAACCATCTCAACACTCAGACCTCCGAAAAAAAAACTGTTGGTAACTCCTCACCATAATCTCCTAACTCAGAATATTCACGCAACACAACTCGCCTCAAACA